AGGGTGGGGCAGGCTTGCTGCTCCATCCAAGGATTTCATTGTATGTAGTCACGTGATGGATCTTGGGATCTTGAGGATCCCAGGATCCAGACAAGGGATCTGGGGGATCCTCAGATCCACATGGGAACGAAGGTTCTATATAAGATGGCATGTCTGCCATTAGATAGGAGCTTCGTGCTCAACTTAGTTTACTTAGTTATCAATACCTTTTGACTTTGACGACTTTGTACAAGTGACGAGTTTACCTCCGAGTAAACAACCCGGCGCATCTGATCTTCTTATCTGCATACCAACCTTCGGAACGATTACTTTTGTTAGATAGTTTGAGTTTCGTCACAGTATTATTCCTAAGAAGTTTTTAAAGGAATTAAGCGAGGAAGAGATTAACGTAATAATACCGGTTTAAGGATGATTAAGTATAGGTCTATACCTTACTCCGTAACACCTTAGAAACCGGTAGGTAGAACGTCCTAATTAGGTTTAGTATATAGTGTCCGACTAGTTTCCTTAAGTTTGATTGGCGAGAGCACTTGGTCTAAGTCTAATGAAGCGTTCTGCCTACCGGTTTCTAAGGTTTTACGGAGTAAGGGATAGTTAATTAATATTCACTTCTCTTAAATCCTACTCTCTGATTAGTTAGTACGTGTTTTAGTACGTGTTTTAGTACGTATTTTAGTACGTGTTTTGGAATTCTATTTTCTATAGAATTCTAGAGCCTTTTTAATAGAATATTCTATACCTTTTCAAAGGTGCTCTGGAATTATTCCATATGGAATGGAATCGCTGGAATTCCATAGAACCTGTTCCATTTGCCGAACGTTGAAGATAATGGAACTAATTCCTCGGAATTCACAAGTACATGGGTGTCTGTATGATTGTTGTGTCTAAGTGGGATTTAGGAATAATTATCTTTACTTGATTTATAAGTTCCCTTTTCCTTCTATCTCCGATCCTCTTTTCATCCTTGAGTTTGTCTTCCACCACCTCTGCCTCTTGATCATCTAATCTATTTCTAAGCCTTATCTATGGCTAAGAAGAAGAATTAAATACAATGTATTCATGTCCTCATTACACACTGTTTCCCTCTCAGTTTAGCGAAATTGATACCATGGTGCAAACCCTTCTGCAATATCTGCTATTTGCTTAAAAAGGTAAGACAAGAAGAGGCTTAACATGTTCTTTCTTTCATTAGGGCATCTAGTTTCGGTGAAGGACCTCATGTTGCTACTAGTATTCTATATTGCCGTACCTACGTGACCTGCATAGATAGCTGCTGTTAAAGCAATTGATATATTTCACTTGTTGGTAACGTAACTGCAAATTCTCCCTTCCACAGATGCAAAGTAGCTATGCCCAAGTAGTAACACATCTTCATCAGCAGCAGCAACATCGTAACCTACCTCCACCCTTCCATCACACCAAAGCAACGCTCGAAAACGTAAATTTGTGGAAAATCGGGCATTGCAACCCCCCGTCCACTTCCACTAATCCATCAATCTATAATGCCCACCCTCAAGCGAACCCTCGACGAAAAAGGTCCTAACACTTAATACCTCCCATCATACCCCGGCCCCGGGTAACCACCATAAGGCAGTTGCTGCGGAGGGTATTGTCCCTGCGGTAGTCCCTGTTGCCAACCACCTTGCGGCGGTCCCTGTCCATACGCATCTGGATAAGGGGGTTGAGGTCCTCCATACTGACCCGGAGGAGGACCTTGCCCATAAGCACCTGGATACGGTGGGCCCTGTCCTCCGTATTGAGGAGGCTGGGAATACTGTGGTTGTCCTCCGTATCCACCTTGATACCCTCCTCCCCCGTACTGTTGCTGTGAACCTCCATAAGAAGGAGCGGCATCATAGCCTCCTCCGTATTGCTGTTGGCCGCCGTAGGTGGTGTGAGGTGGTGCGGAACTTAGATACCCCACATCTTGGGATGCGGTTGGTCTGTGGCCTTGTCCTTGGCTGTGTCCATGATTTGCGTATCCGTAATCGTGGACGGGATGGCCACTGCTCGAGGATGATCCAGGACGGGAGGAGGATGAGTCTATGTATGAGTATGAAGGATTGAAATCGTCGCCTGAGAGGGAGCCGAGATCGCGGGATTGGATTTCAGTCCAGATTGAGCCTGTTGTTTTGCCGTGGCCTCCTAGAGCGCCGTCTAAATGGCTGTTAGCTTGAAGATTCCGAAGAAACTATTTAATTGTTGAAGGGTCTAAAATTATTGCTTGGATCGCATCTTGGGGGCGTATGCTGTGATCATCAATACGCCTGAAAGGCAAGACTTACGAGAGTGGGAAGATTCAATTCCCTTATCTGATCCTCCCTTATGGTTATGACCAGCCTTGACTGATTGAGAATTCAATACTTGATTAAGTTCGTGACGATTTGGTTGCCCATCCATCCATTTTCTGACAGTTTGGAACATGTTTCGGTGGATTTCAATGCCTTCATCCCGGAGAGCCGGGTGATGGAATGCTCGACAGATATCATGCATCACTTCATCAACTGGGACACCTGGATTTTGCCAGGCGTAGAGAATTCGGCTAGGTTTTATCAGCAATAGTTGGTAAGGGATAAAGAATCTTATACTTACGGAGCAACATATTGAAGAATGGTTGTAGCAACACGGCCAGCACATCCGTTCAAGACGTTTGTGAAATGATCTTTTGACAGCATGGAATGTGTTGGATTTGTGCAGTGAGGATCATTCCAAGGCTCGAATTGTTGATTGGCACTATCCAAATGTCAGTATCTACAATAATAAAAATAAGGAAAGTACATACCTTGCTTCGACAACAGTGCTTGACCCTTCCTTCAAAGACTTTGAGACAGCATCAATGATAGGTCTAATGAAAGGCGCAAGAAGAGACAAGACGAAGACAGTAAGTGTCTCGCTTATTTTATCCACTAAAGCCTCCAAGCCAGGAATCTTTGCAATAGTCGCACTGATGGCTCGTACAACCTTGTCTCTGAACTCGAGAATTGGATAAATCTTCTTGGCGGTAGCAACAGGGTCGAAATCTGGACTCATTCCTGGAACACCAGGTCCTGGTGGACCAGTGCTGGAACCTGGAGGTCCTTGGAATTCTGTTTTAACTGAAGATCGGGTTCGTTGTTCTTCTGCGGCAGATGCTTGTTGCAATTCTCTTGCAGTGGATGCGAGACCACCCCCAAGTCCCGGAACTTGAGACAGGAGGCCGCAGAAATTTTGAACACCAAATGTTGAATTCCCTGCTGAAGATTGTTGGGCACCTTTGAGAGCCAAATCCATTTCCTCAACTTCTGTTTGGGTGAAATGATCATTTGCCTCTCCAAGGACCGAATGCAAAAAGTCAACTCCACCAAATGTCCCAGTGACAAGTGGATAAATGTGATGACCTCTAACGTTCATTTGTGTAGCAGTACCTGTGTGTGGAAAGACATCATGAAGACCAAGTTCACGAAGGGCAAGCTCACAGTAGTTGGTGTGAGCTCCGAAATCCTTGAAAATAGTCAGTGATGGAGTATTCTATGCCAGCAATACTCTGCTTACCTCCATACAATGTAGAGCTTGGCCAAGGCATCTGTTTTTTCGCGTCAGCATGTCTTGTTGATTGCGTACTAGGTACCAACCTAAGAGCTTCGCAAAGATCCTCTTCTCTGCCTCGAGAGTTTCCGGATCCATTGGTATAAAGTCTCCCAAAATGAATACTTCGGGCAAAACTGAATTTGATATAACCAGTACTAGTAGCCCAGTGGCCCCTTTCATTGGCAATGTAATTCTTCATACCAGTTTCCGGGTCAACTTCGAGCTCTGTGGGGTCAATAGGACCTCTAAGACGAGGATCTGCCTCTCTGGCATCCTTGTTGTCGTTGTCTGCACAAACAATTAGTTTTGACAAAGGGTTCACACAATGGCTATTTTCGTGGATGAAGAATTAACAATAGAAAGGCAGAAGAGAGGGGAAGACATGTAGTCATTGCTCTAGGGACTCTTAAATTGAGACAAAATTATCTTTGTTATGAAATACTCGCACAACCAAATTGATTATCTGAATCACTTGGTTTGATTTGCGCTTTTCAAGTTTTCCTAGATCCAAGTATGCGTGGATATTGAAGTCGCTTGTGCCTGTCTTTGGCGTTCAATGGTATACGAAGAGCAATGACCTTGTCGCGTGCTCTTTGCTAACCCATAGAAATGTGATAGCCAAGCTTCATAACTGAGCATATAACTGAATATCCTTCCCCCATAGGCTTTTCTCATTTGAATATTGACACGTACAGAAATTTGATGAAGCATTTAGTTGAAAATGGAAAAAGACACTCACAATCCTTTGGGTTGTCGATATGTTCCTCGGGTCGATAAACTCCAAGTCGCTCTTCAGTAACTTCAAATTCCTCTGTAGCATAACCGAACGACAAGAAACTTAGGACCCAAACCTATGGAGTCTTAGCGTTTCCTTCATATATGGAAGTCCATAAAGTAACTCATACCAGGATTCTAATAGTTGGCGCAGAGACACCCTTCAAACTTCCAGTATCAACCGCTTGTGAATAATCTCTGAGCCAGTTGCCAAAGTAAACACGCCTGACCATCATAGAAGTCCATTTGTGGCCCTTTATAAAGGCAATGGTCTTAAGAAAATCCTCAATATCTGGTTTTTCATCAGCTATGGTCTAGAACGGGGACCTAACCCCTCCTACCTCCATGTCGAAAATTTACGCCTTCAACCGAAGCAATACTTGGGATGTTTCCAGCACCAAAAGCGGCCACTGGAGAAGGAAGGACGAGGAGTATGAAGCATAATATGAGGATAACCCCGGAGCTGGGCAAACCTAGCGCCATGTTGAGGGTTGCGACTTAAGCAGTCCTAGATCTGATATCGATGCGCCCTGACGTAATGGGTAATGCGGAATAAGAGGATCGGTAGTATGCTTCTTGGAGAACTTCAAGAACAAATATTCTGCATGAAGATTTGATGATGAGTCCCAATATTAGAGGAGGAGAAGAGCAGTGGTGAGGTGAGGTCTATTAAGAGTGATTTGTTGTAAGTGGCTGGCGACGACGACTGCCAGGTTTGCACATGCAATCTCTGGTGGCTGAGTTGGAGGGGGGCACGAGGAGGGGCTGAAGGGCTCGCCACATCGGCATCGGTATCGGTATCGGTATCGGGGTCACTTCGCAGCTTGCAAGCGGGAGGCCCAATGTACGCAAAGGCGGCGGCGGCTGTCAATACGGAGGTACCTATCAAAAGAGGAAATTCAGCCTGATGAGAAGTTGGGATGGCGTGTTGCTTTTGGAAGACTTGGATCAACCCCAAGCCCTCTCAATACAAATTCTAATGACCTTCTTCTTATTACACATTTTTCCATTCACAGCATTCCCTCCTACCCGTACTCCGCAGCCGTAGATGCGAATGCCCCGAGGCCCCTTCCTCAACACCTCCACTGCTGCATCCTTGTCCTGCCACGTGACAGATCTCCAGAAATGGATCGTTCGAGGCTGGGTACAACGAATCAGAGGGGGAAATTGCAAGGCATCAAATCATCTCGTCTCGACAAAAGTCTCCTGTTCATAGCCTAACAAACCACGCGATTCGGAGTCCACGGATACCACAACCACCGATGCCTTGCTGAAACAAACTCTTCCAGCTTTATAATCTCTCTCAGCCCGCTTGGTCATACTTGTATTCGACACCCTTTTTTGTCCTACCCTTCTCTACGGATACATCCTTTTGAGCAGCCAACTCCAGCTCGTGGCGAACCCTGCGGATACCGCTCTTTTCTACCTCCCAGAAATATCTCTCGCCATGTCGCCCTCACGCACGCTTCCAACCTTCCTGCAATCCGAGTTAGCCTCTCACAATACGGAAAAGAATTGTTGGGTTACCATTGGGACTCGAGTGTTTGATGTGACAGACTTCGTCGACAGTCATCCAGGGGGCGGTGATCTGGTGTTGGAATATGGAGGCAAAGATGTTACCGAAATATTGAAGGACGAGGATTCGCATACCCACTCCGAGGCCGCATATGAAGTGTTGGAAGATGGATTTATTGGCTTTGTTGCGACCGAGAAAGTTATCGAAACCAGTGTCAAAAGCTCCCACCCGGATCGCATCGTTCCTCTTCCACCTACCCTCGATGGCGCCTCTGAGCTCAGGGAGAACGGCTCTGGGAGCCAAGTTCCAGTGTACCAAGCAACGGGCATGTCTTCTGCTGATGATCTTTCCAAGGAGACCGACCTCGCCACCGACTACAAAACACACAAGTTCCTCGATTTGAATAAGCCTTTGCTCTTGCAAGTTTGGTTCGGAGGATTTAGCAAGGAGTTTTATTTAGAGCAAGTTCATCGTCCTCGGCATTACAAAGGAGGAGAATCGGCACCTTTATTTGGAAACTTTCTAGAGCCTTTGTCAAAAACACCATGGTGGGTTATACCTACGATATGGCTTCCTGCAATTACATACGGTACCTATACTGCAAGAGCGGGATGCACTAGTGCTTTTCAAGAGGCTTCGTACTGGTTCTTTGGCCTATTCCTATGGACTTTGGTAGAATATGTTCTACACAGATTTTTATTTCACCTGGACAAGTAAGTATCCTAAATTGCAATCTTGGAAACATGAGCTAATCGAATAATTATAGATGGCTGCCAGACAACCGAGTTGCCTTGACCCTCCACTTCCTTCTCCACGGTATCCACCATTACCTACCCATGGACAAACTCAGACTCGTCATGCCACCTACGTTGTTCCTCGCTCTAGCAATTCCCTTTTACAAACTTGCACATTTCATCTTCTACTGGAACGACTCGATCGCATTGTCTGTATTTTGTGGTGGTGTCTTCGGATATGTCTGTTACGATTTGACCCATTACTTCTTGCACCACAGAACTCTGCCAGCTTACTGGAGAGAGTTGAAGAAATACCACCTCCAACATCACTTTATGGATTACGAGAATGGTTTTGGTGTCACCAGTCGATTCTGGGATAGTGTTTTCGGAACAGAACTTGCTCCTCCACCAACCAAATCACTGTAGATTATAAAAGACGGCCTGTAAATTATAGGGGAATGGGTTAGGGTCGAGTGTGGGCACGATCTGATGATGCAAAGATATGGCGGTGACTGGCATGGGTGGCGTTTGGCTTTGGTTTCGTCAAGATTTGGAAATTTCAGCCAAATATCTTTTCTCCTGGACCGTTCGTTGATCGGTTCATAGGCCTTGTAATACCTATAATAATACTCTAATCATTTCACTACAGTGCAACTCAAGTGGAGATGTTTCATATGAATGTGTATCGTCAGTTAATTAGCGTGATCTGCGTGACGAAGGTCCTTTGAATTCACTTTAAGGTTGTTTGATTTCACGGAAAGAAAATGACCAGATTAGGCTAGTTAGGTCACGTGTCTGTGCCAAAACTGCTGGCGGCTGCTGGCGGCTGAAGCCGCCCAATCTTTAGTGGGCAGCGAGTCATCAAAAAGCTACGACTCTCCCTCCACTCTCCCCCCAACCACCGACCCACCTCACGACACAAACTGTAACATCCATCACCTCAGTCCTGGATTGTGTTTTATCAAATCCACCTACGTGGCAGACATTAACATTCTTCCATAGTCTTGCGAATCCACCAGCCGAAAGATTTCCGATCATCCCACAATCTCAGAATGTCAGCCCTAGACGTTGAAGCTCTACTTGATTCCACTGCAAATAGCGGACCAGCTGAGCAGAATGGGAACGCGAAATCTAAAGACGATGACCGACATAGATCGGAGCGCAACGACCGACGAGATAGAGAACGCAACCGCGATGGTAGTCGAGACCGAGACCGAGATCGCAAGCGCAGAGATCGAAGCAGAGACAAGCCTCGCAGAGAAAATGGAGACAAGGAACTGATCGGAACTCCTACAAGTGAACACGGAAGCGCTAATGGCAGCGCGAAGAGTAGGCGTCGAAGCCGAAGTCGTGATGATGACCGCCGACACTCGCGACGCCACAGAGATAGTCCTGACGAAAACGGCCGACGCGACGGAGATTATTATCGAGGTGGTGGTCGTGCTCGTTCTCGCTCTCGGAGCCCGAATAGATATTATCGTCCTCGCGGTGGCGATCGTCGTGGAGACCGGGACGACCTTGATATTAAACCCAGAGATGATCGTCGAGGTGGTCGCAATGAAGGACGTCGTCAAAGTACCCCAAAGCGAGAAGTTACACCTCAGCCCACAGAGGATGAACGTGATCGTCGCACGGTTTTTGTTCAACAGCTTGCTGCTCGTCTTAGGACTAAAGAACTCATAGCTTTCTTCGAAAAGGTTGGCCCTGTGAAGGAGGCGCAAATCGTCAAGGATCGAGTTAGTGGCAGATCTAAAGGGTATGTAATGAGTCCTCGGTATTGAACAGCCAAATACTGACTGCAATCCCAGTGTTGGTTATGTTGAGTTTAAGAACGAAGAATCGGTCCCTGCTGCTATTCAACTCACTGGTCAGAAGCTACTAGGCATTCCAATTATCGCCCAACTTACCGAGGCCGAAAAGAATCGCCAAGTTCGCAACCCAGAGGCTACTGGTAGTAACCTTAATCAAATCCCCTTCCATCGCCTTTATGTGGGTAATATTCATTTCAGCATCACTGAAAGCGATTTACAGAACGTTTTTGAGCCTTTTGGCGAACTTGAATTTGTTCAGTTGCAGAAGGAAGAGCAAGGTCGCAGTCGTGGTTATGGATTCGTTCAGTAAGCTCCCCCATTACAACACTCCCAAACTTTGCTAACTCAGAATAGGTTCCGTGACCCAAACCAGGCTCGTGAGGCACTTGAGAAGATGAATGGGTTTGACCTTGCAGGTCGCCCAATTCGTGTTGGTCTTGGAAACGATAAGTTTACTCCCGAATCTACCGCCAGTTTATTGCAGAGATTCCAAGGACAGAGCCACCAACAACAATTCCAGGGTTCTGCATTTTCCGGTGCTGGTGGACGTGGTCCCCAAGCTACCAATGGAAGTAATTTTGATCGAGCCGGTGGACGAGATAACGACAAGGGTGCTGGAGGTGCGAGCGCTTTGGATGACACTGATGTTGGAGGGGTAAACTTCAACAACTATAGTCGAGATGCATTGATGAGAAAGCTCGCCAGAACCGATGAACCCGCTACCGCTACCAAGGCTCGTGACGAGAGACGCGAAGTCTTGAAGCCAAAGACCGAGACGAAGCCTTTGCCTGTCAATGTCAATATGGCAAGCAGATGCGTTGTACTCAAGAACATGTTTGACCCAGCCGAGTAATTTGTCCTTGTCAAATCCACAGCTCTATTTACTGACATGACGGTTACAGAGAAGAAGGTGATTCCTGGATCAAAGAACTCGAGGATGACGTTCGCGCAGAAGCGGAACAGAAATATGGCCACGTTGTTCACATTGCTTTAGATCGAAACTCCCCAGGCGACATCTATCTCAAATTCGATCGGGTTCAGGGTGGCGAGAATGCCATCAAGGGTCTCAACGGCAGATGGTTTGGTGGACGCATGATTACCGCTACTCCTGTTGTGGATGCTGTCTACAGCTCTCTCTTTTCTCGCACAAAGGCCATTTAAGATGCTAAGGCTATTTAAGATGCTAATTGGGGCTACACGTTAAACTCTAGGGACGCATGGTATGTTTAATTTGCTTGATTTTTCAAACGTTGTGGCTCACATTGAAATAGATCATTTCACGCCATCTCTATATGTGCACATCCATTGGACTGTACTTTGATCCTTGGCTTCCCATTTGACGGTGTCTAGAAATCACACTCAGTTTCTACCTTGATGTCTCATCAATCCATCTAGGTCACACATCATGCACCCCGACTCCTCAACGCAACATTCCAAAATCGACCCAAAGTTGAATCTCTAATCTCGATCCATCGGTCTCCCAGCAGAAGCAAGAATGTCTCTTGAAGAGAATTGCTGATATTTTCTCTCTCATCGCAGGAACCTTTTCTCTCTCCACGGAATCCTTTTTTGTTCTTTTTCGAATTTACCAATACCCATGTTGCCCGAGGTTATCATGGATCACTCCTGCTGATTGCACATAGGCAGATTCTTTTTCTTTTCCGTCCAATTGGGAAGACTGTTTCTTCTCACTCTTTCAGGGGTGGCTTTTTATTACTTCTTCGCGCTTTCTAGGTAGTTAATTTGATGATTTGGCATGATCTGGACTCGTGACTTGCGGAAGGTGAAGATCTTGTGATGAAGTATCTTTATGTGATTATTTACAGATTAATATGTGTGTCCTTCCACTCAATGTTTCTCGGTTTTTAAGCCTCCTGTTCGCGTCTTCTTGCTATAGAAGGAGGCTTCCTGTCTTATTATGGGGGTTCACTACAAAAGTTCTGGTAATAAGGCCTTCAATGGTTGTGTGCATCACCAAAGAAGCGGAAGATTTAAAGTATGTTGATTTCTTCTCATTGCTACAGTTTGAGACTCCCTACCAGCACCTCTATCGAATCCACGTTTATGTCGATCTAGAAAGCAGAGCGTATCTATAACGAGCTACTCAATCCAAGGTACGTATGCCTATTCTATGAGGGTTCCGGCGGCCCTCCGATACACTAATAGAGTGGAGGATCAGTCTTCCCTTCTTCCCCAAACAAACGATATCATTCCTCGATCTAGGGGGGCAGGGGGGTACTCACACTCCAATAAGGAGTTTGCGTCGTCCATGTGTAGTAGAGACATTTTCCGTCCGGATCGAGACCGCCTGTGCACTGTGGATGAAATGTTAGAGGCGATATGTGAGGAGGGAGAGCGTGTGGTTTTTGGGGTGTGGATGGGGATGGAGATGGGGATGGAGATGGGGATTTGGGATACGTACAGTCCATCCTCCTGTGCCGGATGTCGTCCATACGTATCCGCCTTCCTGGCACGCCTCGCGTACTGCGCCTTTGGGGAGGGTGTTGGGCCTAGGCGTAGGGTTAGGTTGGGGGGTTGGGGTTGGTTTGAGGGCTGCGAGGGCGAGGGGGAGGGTGAGTG